GGTATGATCCACCATGTCTAGCCTAGTTTTAAGTTTTGACAAAGCCTCAATAGAAATTGCAAAAATAACTAGTATAAAGTTGAGACAACCATTGGTTTATCATCTATATTTGATTTTTAGGTATTAATTGCATTTGCTTATGTTAGGTACAAGCATTTGTTCATTTATCTACTTTATTGAGAACACAGAATATATTACATTTTTAGACATTGGAAATAGAAGATTAGTCATGGAACAACCTGCTCTAGTCTTAAAAGCAGAGCATTCACATGGAATTGGTAATAAAGCATGAATATTATATACTGTTTTAACCTATAACAGAAAGCACTCTGAGAATATGCAAGTACCATTGAAATAGGACTTGATTTCGAGAAGAGCTCCCTGAAAATTGACACTTGACCTTTAATGATTTTGAAGATGATGATTATTGACCCATATGAATCCAAGTATTATAATACTATGATGTATGTGGGAAGTCCAAATGAGTCAGTTTCTCATTTATACACTAAGAACCCCTTTTCCTTGTCTTTTCCAAGTTGTAGGCACTGTGCAGTGGATTTCAGAACTCAGATCTTTCCATATTTGTTTTTCTTACAATTGACATTGTTTTTAGTTACATATGATATTTCTAGGATTTACACAATAGGAAATTGGTTAGCCATAAGAATTAAAATAGTCAAATTGGCCGGGTGTGGTGGCTCACACCTGTAATCCCAGCACTTTGGGAGGCCAAGGAGGGCAGATCACAAGGTCAGGAGATTGAGACCATCCTGGCTAACACGGTGAAACCGTCTCTACTAAAATTATGAAAACAAAATTGGCTGGGCATGGTGGCAGGTGCCTGTAGTCTCAGCTACTCAGGAGGCTGAACCCGAGAGGCAGAGCTTGCAGTGAGTCGAGATGGCGCCATTGCACTGCAGCCTGGGCAACAGAGTGAGACTCCTCTAAAAAAAAAAAAAAAGAAATTGGCAAATTAACCCCACAGTGAAGAGAATTGGTGGTAATCATTTAAGGTATGCAGTGCAACAAGAATTAATGCTTTAACAGGGCATTACATACACCATAGCTCAGTCTAAAGTTCATCCAAACCAACACATTGCTATAGGCGTAAGGTATATTTACAATCTACAATTGTTTTGGTCCTATTTGCTTGCTGCCATTCTTTCCACAAATTCTCTTTTACTTACATACCAGCTTTAGAAGTCCCATGCTATCTGAATTATTAATTTTCTACCCATTAACATTTGTCTGATAAACTTTGCTCTCTAAAACATAGCATGCCATCATAATGTTATGTTTATGTTTAGAAAAAGTATTTTCAACTGCTAGATTTTTTAGCTCTAGCATTATTAACCTTATATTATTTAGACAGTTATTTTCTAGATACTCTTCTAGCACCTCAGGAGACTATTACAGTTCTAAGTAAAAGTGATGAAGGCCAAATCCTTATCAGGAAAATAAAGAAATATTTATAATATACACATAAAAAAGCTGAAGTATCAAAATCATTAAAGGCTCAAAAACAAAATTATGTGAATATGTGGGAATGGAAACAGGCTTTTGAATCTTCAGCCTGCACATTTACAAACTATATTTCACGACAACGTTTCCTTACTATATAAGCAAATAAATTATAATCTACAATACAAAATGTAGAAAGGCAGTTGAACAAGCTTGAGACCAAATACACACAATTATTTTTCTTTTCTTCTAGATTCCTAACCATTAAAAATGTGCTTCCCTTATTATCAATTGGAATTATTGTTTTCTATTTATTAGGCACAAATCTCATTGGACATATAGTAAGAACTCTACCATTGGTGCATATTTCCCCAAAAGAAAAACCTTTCAAGGGCAGCGAGCTCATATGAGGAGCCTCCGTTTGTGCTCCTAAAGGTACCTCATGAGACAACTTTGGAGAAAGCTAACAGAACAATGTAGAAAGTGAGTGGTTGGAGTTAGAGTTTTGTTAGGGCATTCTTAAACATTAGCCCACATCGGTACAACCTGCAAGGTTTTTGTAGCAGATTTTTGTGTAGATTGTTGAGCTTCACCCCAGAGTTTCTGATTCACTGCATCTGGGATAGGACCCAAGACTGTATAGGTCTTCAGTGGTGCAGTGGTTTAATGACTGCACTGTGAAAATCATGGCACTGCAGGATGGGAAGTTCTCAAGCTTCCACATTCTTCTGATAAATTTTACCCCATCCTCATAATTGTCCTCATCTCCAACCAGGCCACTAGGTACCTATCTTACTCCTGTGTGATCCATATTTCAGGACAAGAACATACCTTTCTTCGGGACCCTGTAGCCTTTGCAATAGAAGAGATAATGCCACTGGATTTGCGAAGTTGTATAATGTATGTTACTTATGCACTTCCTTTTCCTAAGGAGAAAAATGATGTTCTGAAAAAGATGGACTTTATTGCTTAATAATAAGTGAGCTGGTTAAAACTAAAGTAACTACTTTCTAGAATGTGAAATTAAAAGACAAAGTAGCACTTGAGCCTGAAACAGCTGCACAGGCAGTTGCAGAAGTCAGCACTGAATCAATGGAAAGTCAAAGCAGCTGACACAGCTTTTTTCTAACATTTAAGTGCTTTCTTCTTTCGTGTAACTCATATTCACTCAACTGCATTATGATCCTCTCAAAAATGCCAACATTGTCATTTCCGTATCCCTCTGTAAACTAGTTCTTCTGAAGAGACAAAATTAAATTTTCAAACACTAATGGCATAAACCAGCACCACCTGATATCTTGCTGTATAGAAACACACTCTCGTTCTCTTCTTCCCGACCTGAGGGGCATGGAGACAGATTCTAAAGAGGATGGAGAGGTTGCCTGTATTTATCTGTTTTCCCACTGCTATAAAGAACTGCCCAAGACTGGGTAACTTATATAGGAAAGAGGTTTAATTGACTCACAGTTCCAAATGTCTGGGGAGCCCTCAGGAAACTTACTACTGTGGCAGAAGGTGAAGAGGAACCAACACACCTCCCACATAGGGAGGCAGGAAGGAGAATGAACGCAGGAAGAACTACCACACACTTATAAAACCATTAGATCTCGTGAGAACTCATTATCACGAGAACAGCATGGCGGCCCCCATGATTCAATTACCTCCACCTGGTCCCTCCCTTGACAGGTGGGGATTATGGAGATTATGGGGATTACAATTCAAGATGAGATTCTGGGTGGGGACACAGCCAAACCATATCATCACCTATCTCTACTCTTCCCACTCACTCTGACTCTTGAAGTGGGTTTATGATGTATGCTCTTACTGTGCAGGTTCTGGGTTTATGGGCCCTGACACAGCTTGCTGACTCAGGTGTTTATATAATTAATGTCTCTATTAATTTCTGCTGCTGCCATAACAAATTAACACCCATTTAGTGGCTGAAACAAATTATTACCTTAAAGTTGTGTAGGAGTACCAAATACAGTACAAATCTCCTTTGGCTAAAATAAACAGATAGTTAGGGTGAGTTCCTACTTGGAGGCTTTGTTAGTCCATTCTTGCAATGCTATAAAGAAATATCTGAGGCTGGGTAAGTTATGAAGAAAAGAGATTTATTTGGCATATGGTTCTGCAGACTGTACAGGAAGTGTATTGCTAGCATCTGTTTGTTGTGAAGACCTCAGGAAGTTTGCAGTCATCATGGAAGGCAACGGAGATCTAACATGTCACACAGTGAGAGAGGAAGCAAGAAAGAGAGAAGGGGGAGATTCCCATATTCTCTTAAACAACCAGCTCTCACGTGAACTAACTGAGCAAGAAGTCACCTATCACCAAGGAGATGGCACTAAACCATTCATGAGGGATCCACCCCCATGACCAATCACCTTCAACTTCCAACATTGGTGTGATGGTGAATATTGAGGGTCAACTCGATTAGAGGATACTAAGTATTGTTCCTGGGTGTGTCTGTGAGGGTGTTGCCAAGGGAGATTAACATTTGAATTACTGGACTGGGAAAGGCAGACCCACCCTCAATCTGGGTGGGCACCACCTAATCAGCTGCCAGTGTGGCTAGAACAAAAGCAGACAGAAGAAAGTGGAAAGAATAGACTGGCTGAGTCTTCTGTCCTCCATCTTTCTCCCATACTGGATGCTTCCTGCCCTGGAACATTGGACTCTAAGTTCTTCAGCTTTGGGACCCTTGGACTTTTGACCACAGACTGGAAGGCTGCACTGTCAGCTACTCTACTTTTGAGATTTTGGGACTTAGATTGGCTTCCTTGTTCTTCAGCTTGTGGATGACCTACTGTGAGACCTTACCTTGTGATCATGTGAATCAATACTCCTTAATAAATTCCCCTTTATAGATACATCTATTCTATCAGTTCTGTCCCTCTAGAGAACCCTGACTAATACAATTGGGAATCACATTTCAACAGGATATTTGGCAGGGGCCAACATCCAACCCATATCGGAGGCTGTGAGGGAAGATCCATGTTCTTCATTTGAGTCATTGGCAGACTTTAGTTCCATGAGGCTGTAAGACTGAGGGCCCCATTTTCTTGTTGATTAGAGGACTGTTCCCAGCCTCTTGGGGCCACCCACATTCTATGACTTTTGTTCTTGCTCTCCATCTTCAGGGCTGGCTATGATAGGTCGAATCCCTGTCATGTATGAAATCTTTCCTCCTTCCCTTTCTGCACCATCTTTCTGACCTACCCAGGAAAGAGTCTCTGGTTTTAAGAACTCATGTGACTAGACTGGGTCTACCCAGTTAATCCAGGAAAATTTCACATGCTGAGGTCCTTACTCTTAATCACATCTGCAAAGTCCTTTTGCCAGGTACAGTAATATATTCACAGGTTCCGGGCATTAGAGCACAGGCATCCTTGGGGGACTTTGCTTATCACAATCTGCAAGCAAGGTCACTTTTGAGAAAAGGAAGCACCACTAATAAGCATGTCATGACAACAGAAATGAACCAGAACACACAGTCACCTGATTATGACACCAAGAGTGTCATAATTCTTAGTGACACTCTTTTTTTTTGTCCTAAACAGTTCCACATGGACTCATAATTCCACATGGCTGGGGAGCCCTCAGGAAACTGACAACTGTGGGAGAAAATGAGGAGGAGAAACATCTAACATAAAGGCTGTGAGGAGGTATAGGAGGAAGGGATTGTAAATAAATGAGTTGTGCTATGTTACTAGGGTTTTATCTAATAAGTGCTGTTAAATAGTTTAATAGTAATTCAATGCGTCAGGCAGTGGGGAATGAGGTGCTAAAGAGATGAGTAAGAACACAAATGTGCCTTCAAGAAGCTTCTAGCTAATTCTCAACAATGTGTTAATGAATGTCCACCTTGACTTCTAAATGTGCTCAGCTTTCATATGAGGCAATGGAGATAGATAAGTGTTTGATTTTAGGGGATGGGCATTGATTGCAGAGGAAGAATAGATTTTCCTTGACCGTGAAGTCACATGGAGTCCAGGATGACGAGAATCTCTTATCTAACCATTAGGCTGGCAAGCCAGGACCACTGGGCATTACTGAAAACAAGATAAAATGTGCATCCTATTTAGAACATCCCCTTAATTAAAAAGAAGTCTACTGGGGACTCTTTAATTAACCACAGAGTACCACATTAACCTTTTCCTGTGTTATAAAGTTGACGCTCTATTCCCGCAGGTGAAATTTCTTCAAATGCATTCTGCTATCCTTAGGCACATACAGATTTAAAAAGAAATAAGATATGGAGATGTTATAGTTACTATTCCCAATAAAAGCAAATAATAAGTCTCGAATTATGTATGTATTCATACATGATTGTATAATGATTTTAAATGAAGCAATTACTTTGAGATGTTCATTGGTCCTAGTTAGAAATGCTTGCATATTTTATAAGAGTTAATGTTTTATGTTTATTTATATTTGAATCATTATACTGTAAGATGAGACTTTTTGGCTTGGTAAGCTTAATGTTACTAATTTATCGTAGTCTAATTTATACAAGAATTGCTGTGATTCTGAGTTACATATTGCTACTTAATATTCTTGTCATCATATGGTATTTTATACATAACTTGAAATAATATTTTTTATAAGCTCTTACAATATTTATACTAAATTTTGATGTTTCTAGCTAAATGTATTTAGAAATTTTCATTGTTGTGGTATATGTAAAATAGTTGAATAAGTGTAATGTACTTTCATACTCATCACTGAGCAGAAAACTGAACATTATATAAAGTGCTTTAAGTGTAAGATATTTATAATTTAATAAATTAAAACAATGCTGACTTCATTTTGGATAACTATTTTAAATACCACATTATTTCTGTTAGAGATTTAGATTTTCATTTCCTTAATTGTGACTGATATGATTTACATGAAAGTGAATAATATTAAACTTCAAACAGAAGTATGAAATAAACCAATTTTATTAGAAGAAAAATATAGTGGATAACAAAGAAAAGTTGTTCATTTAAGAATGTAAAAATAAAGGTATTCAAAATAACTGTATAGATCAACACTGAAAATGGTGTGATCGACATCCAGGAATAATACGTTTTAAGAATAAATAGGTCTATAATGAAAAGAGGAACACTATGTCAAAACAAGTTTTACTTTACAGGGGTTAGAAAATAAGTGTTGAGTTATGTTACCATTTTCTGTTATGCGCACAAATCAATATTCACGTGTTTTTTTTTTTAGGTTTTAAAAGTTTCAATGAACACATTTTCTTTTTCTTTTTTTTTCTTTTTTTGAGTTGGAGTCTCCCTCTGTCGCCCAGGCTGGAGAGCAGTGGCGCGATCTCGGATCACTGCAAGCTCCTCCTCCCGGGTTCACGCCATTCTCCTGCCTCAGCCTCCGGAGTAGCTGGGACTACAGGCGCCAGCCACCGCGCCCGGCTAATGTTTTATACTTTTAGTAGAGACGGGGTTTCACTGTGTTAGCCAAGATGGTCTCGATCTCCTGACCTCGTGATCCGCCCTCCTCGGCCTCCCATGGTGCTGGGATTACAGGCGTGGACCACTGCGCCCGGCCTCTATTGGGTTATTTTGATGTAACGGAGATAATGAGATGGGTCAGATACTCCACGACTCTTTTGCTTTTAAGCATACATTTCCCCTCGTCCTTGCCAGCACTAGTAGAAATGGTTTAAAAGAGACATTCATAAAAGCCAGGGTGTCAACGCTCTACTGTTTATTTTTACCTACGTTACATTATTTACATTATTTACAAGCAAACACTATGCTGTTATATTTATTAAACACCCTCTTTTATTTTCCTGTTTTATTTATACCTGAGGCATCCACATTCATCCTAAGTTTGTTTCCTTGCAACACTGTCACCTAAAAACACTATCTTTCAAAAAGTGAAAATTTTATGCAGTAATATTTTTTACTAACCTTTTAATTGTACCTTATTGTTCTCTTTTTTCTAATACTATCTCCAAATATTTCTTTTTGCCCTCGATATTGCTTTTTTAAAAAGCCTTAGATTTCTATAATTTTAGTAGGTAATTTACGTTTATTTTATAAGCACAAAGAGAATAGTAATAAAAAAGAACAAAAGGCAAGCATGCTATCAAACACTCTGCCAGCATCATCTTTAATAGACTTGGTAAAGAGTTTCCAATTATTTGCAGAGCTCTCCATAAGCAGACCTGGAAAAATTAATAGATCTGATCAATATTCACCCACTGAAAAATAGCAGAGTTGTATGGAGAAGACATGGTGAGACCATATGTTTACCTTGAGGTTCTGTCCTGAAGATTTGTCAAAGACCATCTTTAGAGAAGTTGGGGAAACATTTGACTCTCTTGCCAATATGCAAGAAAAGATTTAATAATGGTGTCCTATGACTTCCTTTTGGTTTCTTAACACTAACAGTAATCAAAGCCTAAATACAGGAATAAAGATAAAAGCAACTTAGAATATTTAGCATACAAACCCAAGCAGACGGCCAAAGTTTTGGAAGAAAGTGGGTAGTAATGGTGATGGGAAGGAATGAGAATGTGACCTGTGTATAAATTTCTGTCAATCTGAAGTCTGGATTTCTGAGTATTCTTGATCAGGTTGTCTGGAGAAGACTCAAGGAGGAAGAGTTTATAGAGCTGGGAGAATAAGATACTGGTGATAAAATGTAGAGTCACATGTTACTTTCCCTGAGAAACAGACTATAAGGGATTATGTGTGGAAATTTTCTTAGGAGCTGCCCTTGGAAGGGAAAGAAGCAGGATTGGATAGAGGGAATAGTTGGGCTGTGATGCTGTTTTGATTTTCATTGTTATGCTTTCTTTCTAATTTGATCTTGATGTCTTTCTCTTGAGACTATCCATAAGCTTTCCCCTTGCCTGACTGGAAATTCAAGGAATTTGGCCATGAATGTTTACAATGTGCATTCACAGAATGTTTCTTTATCCTAGCGGATAGCCTGATGCCTAAATGTTGACCCGTGACCTTGTGTTCCTCTCAGAAGAATCTTGTTTATACCAGCAGATGCCCTTGCGGCTCTTATCTGATCTATGTCCACTTTATTCCTGTCAACATAACTACTCTCTAAGAGAGCTCTGAATAGAAATAATGTGAGGAGCAGGTGTGTGTGTGTGTGTGTGTGTGTGTGTGTGTGTGTCTGGTGAGACACAAGGAGGAAGGGGAACCAAAATGCATGAAGCAGAAGAAATTTGTTACTCAATGGTCTCAGAGAGGTCAGGAACTAAGGGATGCCAAAGGGAGGCCAATGGAAAGCCCAGAGTTGGTGGAGAGTACAACCAACAAGTGAAGGGAGGAGAGGTAGGAGGAAGGCAAGGGTAGCAGGGAGGGAGGGAGGGAGGGAGGGAGAGAGGGAGGGGGAGAGAGAGAGAGAACAAGCCTGTGAGACTATGCCTTTATTAAGGTTCATGAACATTGTTCCTTACGGTTTTCCTGAAGGTTGTGTATTGGTTAGTGTCAAGAAGACTCACGCAGGGAGCGAGAACTCATTCATATGGCTCTGGCTTGACCATTAGATTTTACTGTGGTCAGGAGCTATGCAGTGTGTTGGGCTGTGGATCAGTAAGATGAGGAACAAGCATCATATAACGCAAACAACCACACAGGGAGAAAAAGCTTTAACTAGGCCAAAGGTGATGGGATACAACTGGGTTTTAAACAACTTACATGATGCCTAAAAGTGGACACTGAGGAAGCAACTTCATTAATAAATGATAAAAAATGCAGTTTCAGTACAGGTTTCAGCCAAACCCATGGGGAGCGCTCAAGTTGGGTGGCCCCTACATCAACAAGTTATTTAATATAGACTTCCCAGGAAGGGGTGTGACTGTCTTTAGCTGAGACATTTTCTGAAGGGGATAGTAGGTCAGGCCTTCTACCAACAATATTGTCAGTGACTGAGGGAATAAGTCCTTCAGTCATGAAGTGGAATCTGTGTTACATCAGTGTCTACCGGAGTTGGCTGCTGCTTTTATCACTCAGACCCACTTCTTCATATAAGTTCTCAGAGCAGCTCCTCTAAGAATTTGGAGATCCTCTTCTCATGAGAAAGTTAGAAGAGAAGGCTAGTAGGACAAAATACTGCTACGATGCTTCAGATGGTCTTAGAGAAGCAGCTGATACCATCACATTCCTCTACCCACCATTCTCAATTCCCTTCACCCTTGCCCACCATCTCTCCGTATTTCAGTGGCTTACCTGGTAGCATGATCTATGTCCTCATCCCTGAGAAGTCTGAGCCCCTGGTACTAAGCCCTTCTTAGGCAATAGTTTCTGCACTTGTCAATTTTTTGTTAAAACCATGCAAGAGCATATGAATAGGCAGCCAAGGGAAACATCTGGATGTGAAATATGTTCCTCCCCATCCCTATTTCTAACAGCATCTGATATGGTTTTGTTGTGTTCCCACTCAAGTTTCATTTTGAATTGCAGTTCCCATAATCCCCTTGTGTCATGGGAGGGACCCAGTGCAAGGTAATTGAATCATGGGTGTGGTTACCCTTATGCTGTTCTCATGGTAATGAGTAAGTTCTCACAAGAGCTGTTAGTTTTATAAGGGGCTTCCCCAACTTTGCTTGGCACTTCTCCTTGCTGCCACCATGTGGAGAAGGGCATGTTTGCTTCCCCTTTTATCATGATTGTAAGTTTTCTGAGGCCTCCCCAGC